AATGTGATGGGGTGACTGTCCTGGCTCAGTACAACCCCTATTCTGACGCCTGATGCATCACATTTTACTTCGAACATTTGTGTGAAATTTGGAAAGGCTATAACTGACGTTTGTGTTATTTTTTCTTTTATTCTGTCGAAGCTACTCTGAGCGGTGTTTGGCCAAGTGAACTTTTTTGCTTTTTAAATGCTCAGTAGAGGGGGGGGGGGGGAATCGTAATAGTGCTGAAATGCCTAATGAAGCAACGGTAGAATGATGCTAGCCCCAAAAACTATCTTAGTTTGGTGAATGATCGAGGTGTTGTCCAACTTATATTGGCTTCGATTTTTGTCGGGTCCATTTGAGTTCCCTTGCTAGATACAATGTAACCCAAAAAGCATACCTGATTTTTCATAAAAGTACATTTCTTAGGATGGACATATAATTTCTTATTTCAGAGTACTTCTAATACTGATGTTAGGTGTTGTATATGTTCCTCCTCAGAATGACCGTATACTAGTATGTTGTCAAAGTAGACCACGACAAACTTTGTTGCGAAATATCTGATTCATTAATCTCATGAAGGTGATGAGTGCATTTGACAGGCCGAAGGGCATGACTGTCCACTCGTATAGTTCATCTCGTGTCTATAAGGCAGTATTCCATTCATCGTTTGGTCTCATCCGTATCCGGTGGTATCCATTGCGTAGGTTGACCTTTGAGAACAGTGTCCCCGTGTAACTGGTCCAAGAGATCATCTAGTCGAGGTATTGGAAATCGGTACTTGATGGTTAGTTTGTTGATGGTTCTACTATGGATACATATCTTCCATGATCGATCTTTCTTGGGCACCGTTAATGCGGGCACAACGCACAGATTTGTACTTACTCTCTGGTGACAAGATCGTGTACTTGTCATTGTAGTTCCTCGTATTTCATTTGTCTTAGCCTATAGGTAGCTCGATTTGGTAAGACTGACTTTGGTCGATAGCATGTCGGATGTCCCTTAGTGGTGGCAGTCTCTCTGGAAGAATGTCCATGTTGACATCTTAGAAGTCTTGTAGCAGCGGTTGTAGGCGTGCTAGTTTGATGTTTTCTTCCTCTAACCCCTCGAGTAGGACTAGGGCTAGTGCCATCAGTGCATCTCGAACTGACGACATAATGGTGTCTCTTGAAACGGTGTCATTTATTCCTCGTGTGTCTTTACTTGGTAGT